CATTGGGGTCACAGCTAAGCCTTCATACACAACATTTCTACCACAACTTAACCTTTAGATAAAAATAAAGGTAGATACCAGCTCCACCATAAAGAGCTCCATTGTCAGGGGATAAGATGGGTGTACCCCACCTGGAAGGGTAAGTGGGAGCCTGATGGGAAGAGGTGGAGGGTGAGAGAGAGGAGGTGGGTAAGCAAAGCCCAGAATGTGGGCATGAGCAGGTTTGGGCCATGAGGACCCTTGGAAGAAGAGCTGAGGAGTAGGTGGGAGCACAACCTGAAAGTCCTTGCAGGGGAAGAGTGCAGACCCGGTGCTGGACCCAGATGGAGCCTGAGTCTGCGGAGGTAACGTGATGGGTGTCGTGGCTCGTGACAAAGCAAGCACACATGTTCGGGGGCAGTGCAGACGGATCACGAGCATTGCCCATGGTGCCCACAAATGAAGGAATGAGAATCCAAGAAGGGAGATAATGCAGGAAAGGGAGGATGGGTGTAGATGCTGGAGACTTGAGGGGTATTTGTCAGCAATGGCTGGTGTGGGCACAGGGGTGGCTTGGAGGAAGCTTGGAGCTCAGGAAAAGGAGGGATCAAAGATTCCTTTGAGCTCCTCTGCCCTCGTGCAGGACCATCTGGAACTTTACCAGCCTAGGCAATGTTGTTCTTACACGATCCCTTTCACACAGCACACCCCTGCAATATGACAGCAATAGGTGTTCACCCCCATTACTTAGGGGCAGGTAACAGGGAATTGCTGGCCTTCCCCGTGCATTTTCACGGAGACCTTAAGTTACTGTTTCCCACAGGAGGTGGGGGACATTAACAATGGCGCCGGGAAGGACTCTGACCTGTTGGCCCAGCAGCACAGGATTTCTGTGGCCAGGGTTCCAGGATGCAATTCTACGGGAACAATGACCCTGGGCCCTCTCATTACCCCAGAACGCTCAATCAGTGCCTTATCCACCACTCTGTGTCCTGTGACTTATCTGAGTCACTTCCATGAGCCAGGACACATGGGAAGCCACAAATCAAGGCTTGCTTCTAGTGGTCGGCAACTCCGGTTTAAATACACCAGAAACTGGATGGGGGGACATACTGATGTAAAAGAGGCCCAATGACTACGCTTTACACAAAATCGCAGGAGCCCTACTAAGCAAGAAAAACATAACAAGCATATGGAAGTCAGCTGTGGGCCAAGAACGTGACGGAGACTTTTCATGCTTTACGGTGGATGTGGAGAATGACACTGCAGTAGCTGAAGAGTCTCTTTGAAATGTAGCCCCACCACATCCCTGGGAAATACAGTCAATATCCGCTCTCCAACCAAAAGCCACTTCCTCAGGAGAGATTTCTCTGGAACCCAGCATTATGTTATACAGTCTCAAAGCCCCTTTTATTTCTCACACGAGGCACTGTTTTCTCTTATTTAACTATGGGTTCAGTGTCATGATTATTAGATTAATAATCTTTCTTGCTACCAGACTGAAACCTCGCTGAGGTCAGGGATGGCTTCTGGTTTTTCTCTCCCCTGGGCCACGTACAAGCCTGGCTAATCAAAAGCAGTCAACGTTTGAAACATAAAAGCATGAGGAATAAAAGAAGGCCCAGTGGGTCCCAGGATGTGTCGAGCGACAAACCATCTCAACGACTGAACTCCAGCATTTTAAAAGTGAACCTCTAAAGAGCCAATATTAAATGTCCAACGGGCAGTTTACTTCATCCTTGCAGATAATGACATGCCTACATTAGGAAATAATTGATAACTAATATCATTTATCTGAATTATGATTAATAATATTTTCCCATAATAACTAACTGTGGATTACCATAGTAAAGAATAACAATGGCAATAAAGAGGAAAGAAAGGAAATACAGTTGACCTTTGAACAACATGGGCTGAAGGGGCTTACCCCAAGCAGTAGAAAATCTGCATGTAATTGTTGACTCTACAGTTGAACTTTCACATCTGCAGATTCAACCAACCTTGAATGGAAAACAGTACTTTCAATCCACGGTTGGGAAAGCCCTGGATACAAAGGGTCGACTATATTTATTGCAGGAAATCTGCATGCAAGTGGACCTACACAGTCCAAGCCCCTGTTATTCAAGGGTCAAATATCATTTACATGGAGCATCTAACAAATAAATTGAAGTTCTGCAAACAAAAACAAAATGAAGAACGAAATAGACAACCCCGACAGTGCAGGTCACTTTGCCTACATTTTCCTCAAGGGCCTTCAACTCAGGAGAGAGACAGTAGAGCTCGCCTCAGCAGTTCCAGCAGGGCTCTCTCCTCTTGCTTGACCCTTTCATAGGACACAGTCCAGAAATATAAAGTAATTACCTTTAACCTGCTTTTCAACTGAAAATTGAAAAAAAGAAAAGAAAAAGAAGATTTTCCTCAGGACTGTAGGAAAAACTGGGTCCAACAAGGCCCCTGCCTAAGGAATTTTCCAAGGCAAGTTTGACCATACTCAAAGTTCTCATTTTGTCTTGAATTTAATATCTAACTACTAGGTAAGAGTCAGCCCCACTACACTTGCTGAGCAGAAGGTGGTAATTATGAACTGGCCAGTATTTAGGCTGATGTAGGCAGTGCCTTCGGTTAAGGAGGGGGTTGGGTTCTTCCCTTCTAGCAGCATGCAATAATTATCTCATCCTGAGCCAGAATCCTGGAACTGGAGCCGAGTCAGGGGCCTGGTGGGTCTAGCACCTGGTCTACAGGAGACTTGAGGAGCCCCTCGCTGGCCTCAGGATGGTGGATGTTATGCAAGTTTGATTCAAATTGAATAAACTGCTTGAGAACTGCAAATGCTGCATCCACATACCTTAACTATGAGGGCTGAGAATCGAGACCATCTGTGTCAACATAACTATTTCTTCTAGGATATTCTTGCCCAGGAAGTTAAAGCTGTAAAACAATAAATAACTTCTCTGTTTGCTGCAGAAAATTTTTATAGGACAATCTGTCCTAGAAAATAGTTTGCTCACCTGGGAAAACAACTTTTATATCAATGATGGTTTATTGCCAGGACTCAAGACCCTTGTCTTATCAACAAAACAACAAATGACAAGTGCTGGCGAGGTTGCGGAGAAAAAGGAACCCTCGTGCACTGCTGGTGGGAATGCAGACTGGTGCAGCCACTGTGGAGAACAGTATGGTGTTTCCTCAAAAAAGTAAAAATGGAACTCCCATTTGACCCAGTGATCCCACTTCTAGGAATATATCCCAAGAAAACAAACACCAATCAGAAAGAATACATGCACCCCAATGTTCATGGCAGCACAATTTATAATCGCTAAGATTTGGAAATAGCCTAAGTGCTCATCAGCAGATGAGTGGCTTAAAAAACTGTGGTAATACTACAATGCGGTAAAAAGGAAGGAACTCCTACTATTTCCAATAGCATGGATGGACCTGGAGAGCATTATGCTAAGTGAAATAAGTCAGTTGGAAAAAAAATAATTATCACATGATCTCACTCATTTGTGGAATATAATGAACAACATAAACTGATGAACAAAAACAGATCCAGAGACAGAGAAGCATTGATCAGATGGTCAAACTTCAGAGGCAAGGCAGGGGAGGGTAGGGGGGAAGTGGAGAGATCAACCAAAGAACTTGTATGCATGCATTTAATAAGCATAACCAATGGTCACAGACACTAGGGGGGCAATGGGGAGATAAGGATACATATGTAATACCTTAATCAATAAAGGGGGGGGGGAAAAGACCCTGGTCTTACTATACCCATCAATCTCGAACAATTATATCATAAACTTTGCTGAAATCCAATCACTTCTCTGCCTTGAAAAATATAGCTCAAAGGACATGGATTGAGACCTCTACACCCTATCCACACACCTCCTGACAGCCACTGGCTTAGACCCAGCAGGACTATTTACTGACCCTGACCTCCCTTATCATGGGCCTTAGCTTTCTTTTATCAACAGGCTCTTCCAGTGGTTTATACGGAGTCTCTAAATGACACAATAAATCAGGTTTGGCTCTTGGAAGTAGGACACATTTAAATGGGAGTTAATACATACTCACAACCCATTAGGGTGGGAAATCTAGTAAAATGGTCAGTTTTCCTCTGTAACAAAGTTAAGAAGCCTCTATACCATTTCTCCTATTGAGGAAAGATTGAACTGCAGTTTGAACACCTGCCTATGACAGATTTCAAATGCAAACTCTGCCTTCATTTTTCTACTCTTTTACATGATTCTGTATTTTCCAAATGTTCTACAATCATGATGTTTTACTTTGAGGGTGAGCAGAAGGACACAGAGCAAGAACAATAAGAAGGGAATCCACTTCCAAGTGTAAATCAGGAATGACCACCAAGTCTTAATTTAAAACACATGCACACACAGAGAATGTAAAACATCCATTTAGAGTCTTATCTCTTTAAGCTGGCAAAGTAACTGTATGGCACCGACATCAGTATGCATCTGGAGAAGCTGTACAGTTTTAATCATGCTGCCTTGGTTCACCCTTGTCTGACCATAAGAGACCTCTGGGGAGTTTGATAAAATGCACCAGTAAATAACATTCCATCTCTGCTTACTGTTGTTGTTATTGTTCTTCTTCTTTTTTTTAAAATGAGCACTAAGTGATTCATACAGTCAAGCAAAGTGTAAAACCCAGGACCAACGCCACTGATTCACTAGAATGCAAAGTCCAGCTTCCATTGTAAACCAACCCGCTAAAACCTGGGCCGCTGGCAACCAAAGATCACCTCATCTGTCTTCCACAGGGTGGCACCTCTGGGTGCCTGGGTCCTGGGCCTGTCCTGCAGCTCACAAAAGTCCCAAAGACTGCCAAACCTGGTAACAGCTTGCAGCTGGGCTCAGGCACGCTCCGCCAGCCAGAGCTGGCTCAGAGAGCAGGCTGCCCCTGCAGCTTGCCGGGCCGGGCAGCTGGAGAGCCTGCAGCTCCCCACGCAGCCTGGCAAAGGGAGCGAGCTGCAGCTTAGCGATCCCAACCGAGGCTTCCTTTACCTTAAAGAAACTTCCTCGCTTGTCCGGGCTGCGGGTACCCATGGTCCAGGATGACATTCCCTCCGGCGAGTCTCTACTGCACGCTGGGGACTCCTGGAGGTAGAGACATTTTTAATGGTTAGTCCAGCCTGTAGGAAATTCCTTTCTAAGCCACAGAACACTCACAACAACAGCCCTGCCAAGATCTTTTTCCATCAACAACATAGTGCCATTTATTTCCCACCAAAGCCCTTCCATCCCCTTTCAGGCTGGTTTCCTGCCTCCGACAGCACAGTTCCTAGACGCGGCCCCACCTCACTGCCCCACCTCCCCCCTTTCCAGCTGACGCAGGAGGTCTCGGGGGACTACAGAACGCACAATGATGGCTTTGTGTTTGCTTGACCTCACACACAAGTCCTAGAGGCACCAATATTAGATGTCACTGCACTCTGCCCCAAAGCTTACGGACTTCATGTGGCTGAGCACAGAGGGGCAGCAGAAGCTTGAGGCTGTGCACGTCGCAAGAAACCGTGCTGGGATGGGATAAAGCCACCCTCAGTTCTATTAACCCTCTCCCCAAGGCTAGGTCAACACGAGGGCTGGGAATAAGTCCTTCCATTTTCTCCTTAGACATCAAAGATTGGGGATGAAAATCCACGTCCCTGTTTATCGAGGTTAACTTGGGTAAGCAACAGATGTAAACAGCACCAGGATACCCTAAAGGTGGGGGCACCCTTTGGTCCGTGGAGGGAAATCTAAAGGCGTGATATGATTCTGAATCACAGCCCTGGCTCTGTGAGCTTGGAATTTCCCTTATCTGAGCGTTAAAACCCAGTACGCTTTCCTCTCGGTCACAAAGCCTTCAATGTCCACTTGTAAGTAAAGCACACACACACCCAGGCAGCTGGCCCCACGCCGGCCAGTGTGCATTGAGACCCGGGGAGCGTCCCCAGATCTTCCTTGCCCAGCGAGGCTGGACATGCAGCAATTATAAAACCGCCCTCCTGCTCAGGATCCTGCCTGCTCACAAGGTGTAGCTGGTCCTAGAACCACGAGCCGCAGGTGGAGGGCCATAAAGGAAGTGTGCATTCAGTAAAAACATCTCTTAAGACATAAGAGGGGGTTCAGCCATGGGGATGGAGAGGGAGAGACAGAGCCATGGTCATGCTGCCCGTTTGCTGAGGCTATTTCATTATTAGCTGGGGAACGGGGAGCCAGCAGCACCGAGGGGACATGTCAGCAACCAGAAGAGCAGAATTCCTTTGCAGAGAACTGAATCCCTGCGAGTGAGCGACGCTCTTCGGAGAGAGGCTCATTTCAGCCTCAAGCGCTGCCCCCTGAGGGACTCCATCCAGGAAAAACTGAGGATGTAGGGCACACCCACCCGACCTTCCAGAATGTTCACCTATTTCAGTTATTTCTCCATCGCTCGGTCACTTCAAAGGTTCGGAGGTGTCTTTTCTGTGTTCCTTTCCACTTGCAATCCCGCTGAGTGCAGGCCCGTTTCCAAACACCTCCTTAGGCATGTGGCGAGCTCCCCCTGCCATTCCGCTGACTCCCGAGGTTCAGGTCCTCAGGCTCAGCCATTCCCGGGAGCCCCGGCCCCATGGCCTCTGACGCCCATCACGGATTAACCAAGTCCACAGGCTGGAGCGGCTCCAGGAAGAAAACGGTGCCGTGTTCGGAAGGAAGAGCGGGATGGAGACCACGCCCTAACCGCTTCGACCCAGAAGCACACCGACACGAAAGTAGACTTCCTGAAACCGAGCCACATGGCTGTAACTCCTTCCCTTTCAGACGTCTTCTCAGCAAGAGACCTGCCCTGGCACAGCAGTGAAGGAACCGTTCCCCGAGAGCCAAGGCTTCATTCCTCAGCCAGCCAGACCTGCGTCTCTTTGCTCTGCTCAGAAATTTCCTGTATGCAAGCCCTTTTGGATGCGCCAGCCAGGCAGGGGAGCTTGCCTATAGCGACAGAGCAGTTTGGAGTTCAGGAAGCTGCCCGAAGAATGTGTCCTCAATGAAACCTCCACTCTGGCCTCCACGTGCGGCAGGCAGATCCATCACGTTTCTTTAAGATGAAGGTCGCATCCACCCCCTCCTCCCATGGCTAAGCCAGCATGGAGATGCCAGCAGGTGATTAGAACAGGCTGCCTAGTGCCACGGGAGGTCCTTCCCACAGAAGGAAATCCAAGTGGAACTACACACCACAGATAATTCTAATTGCTCAAAATAAAGTTTTTAAAAGCCCCAAATAAGTTTTGGATGACCGTCTTTCCTGTTGTAGCAATAGTTTCCTTCCCAAGCCATAACCTCTGACACCTTGCTCAATACCGGCAGAAATTTAATAGAATTTAAAATGATTACCTCTTCCCATTCATGGTTAAACCCTCCCCCCATCCCAACTGGTTTACACCAGTAGTTTCAACCTAAAACCACCCCGGTATCAGGCCAGACTAAGGAACAGAAAAAAGTACCGTAGTTCGAGAGGCTGCAAAATTCCTCCCGAGTTAGCGGTGGGAGCGGCTGCTTTACCGGTTTCCCTGAAGTGGTAAAGCGGATTCTTGACACATCAGCCCCGTGCATCCAATGGGTCATTCCAGACGCTGGCTAAAAGCTAGCAAAAAAAATGTCCTAATGGCACTACGGGACACGGCAAACATTTTGGAGCTGCCAAGCCTCTTCAATAACACCACTGAAGGAATGTAAACGGCTGGTTGCTTCAGTTGCTAAGGGACGAAGGCAGGAAGAGATTCTACCTCCCTCTCCAGAAGCACCAGGCTCTGCCGTCTGAGACCTCGCTGTGGCTTTGCAGGTGCCGGGAGAGCTACTGCTGAGGTGGAGGTCTGTCCTGAAATCACAGCATCAGGGACTCGCTGAGTCACCTGGCCAGGCTCCAGGCGGCCCTGACTGCCTCTGAGCAGGACCGTCCGAGGCTGATGCTCCGGCCCATTCTACAGAGAGCCCCTAAGGACAGGCGCCGGGGCTCCACTGCCTGGTCCTTGGCTGCAGGCTGGCGGGCGGGGCTGGGAACACCGAGTGCCCACTTCCCAGTTTGCTGATCAATGGAGCTGAGTTGAGTGGCAGGCACTCTTCCAGCGTTTTCTCTTCCTGGCCACTGGCCAGATCTCAGAGAGATAGAGGGTCTGAGTTGTGTCCACATCCTTCCTTCCTTTCCCCTTCCCTCCCCTCCACCCTGGATTTATTTAGTCCAATGATATTCTTCCTATTTTACTTGCCCCAGATCACAAGCGCAAACCCACAGGAGAAGCAGCCCTAACTTACCCTGGCATTCACCACTCCCAAGTTCAAGTTAAAAAGAAATGCCGCTTAGTCAAGTCATCTCCAACGAAAGCTTTCTCATCTCTACCTTTTCCCTTCTTTCGAGGGAGACAAAGTGAACTTTGGTTCTAAGTAAACAAGGTACCTTTATTATAATTACATCACAGCCTAATTACTGAATAGGAGAAAGTGACTCACCCCTGGGGACCTGTCAGGTCAAGGCCAATCCCAAGAAATACACTTCACCTTCTCCCGGGATGAAGGCAAGTCTTCCTTCTTAAATGTTTGTGCGTGTGTGTTTTTTTTGTCTTTGCTACGAGGCAGAAGCAAGTGGGGCGTCTCTGTGTCTGGATCCAGGGCATGTCTCTGAATATTTTCATAATGTTCTATGTATTACCACAGCTTTTAGAAGTTGGACAGAAAAACTCTATTCCAGGCTCTGGTTTGACAATTCATGTTTTGTGCGTTTTTACATTTTTCCTTTTTTTTTTTTTTAAGTATTTTGCATAGCTACCCAGCACTGATTTTTCAAACTTTTTTTTTAATTAAAGGAAAAACAAAAACAGATCATGAAAACTCTTCAAACAAAAAGAAAAACTAATTTGTGGGAAGTAAGAAATCAGAAGCAAAAAACTGTATTCCCAGTCCCCTCACTCACTAGCTGTGTTTTTAAAAAGAAGTAGGCACAATGCTCAGCACCTTGATTTCTCTAAGAATAGTCAAGAACAGTAATTTCAGTTGGAATGTACACTTCTTTGAGGTGGAATCTGCTTCTCCACTCTTTTTATAAAAATATATCTTTAGAGCTGAAACTGGTTTGGCTCAATGGATAGAGCGTTGGCTTGCGGACTGAAGGGTCCCGGGTTCGATTCCGGTCAAGGGCATGTACCTCGGTTGCGGGCACATCCCCAGTAGGGGGTGTGCAAGAGGCGGCCGAGTGATGACTCTCTCTCATCGATGTTTCTAACTCTCTATCTCTCTCCCTTCCTCTCTGTACAAAATCAATAAAATATATTAAAAAAAATATCTTTAGAGTTGAAAGTATTACAGATGTCTCCTTCTCACCCCCATTTATTCCCTCCACCCCACCCCTTCCCATCCCCAGTATTCTTGTTTCTTTTTCTTTTTTTTTCTTTTTTTAAAATATATTTTATTGATTTTGTACAGAGAGGAAGGGAGAGAGATAGAGAGTTAGAAACATCGATGAGAGAGAGTCATCGATCAGTTGCCTCTTGCACACCCCCTACTGGGGATGTGCCCGCAACCAAGGTACATGCCCTTGACCAGAATCGAACCCGGGACCCTTCAGTCCCCAAGCCGACGCTCTGTCCATTGAGCCAAACCAGTCTAGGCTCTTGTTTCTTTTTTTTAAGAAAGAGCTCAAAGGTGAAACTGTGCATGTCTGCTGTTAACAGGATTGGCCTGTAAATGGGGCTAATTCTGGTGGAGGTTCATCCCGTCCTTCCTTGAAAAACTCGTGTCTCAGAGACGCTCACCTCATCCATGTGGCAGCAGCTCAGCGGTGCCCGGGTACCGAGGGGTGGACACTGCCACTGGAGGTGGGCAACTGGTGGGAATTCTTTTCTTGGGTGGGAACCTGCCTCTCTTCTCTTACCTCTCAATGCCCTCATTCTACCCCTTGGTACTGACCGAGGTGGTCCCTCTTCCACATCCCAGCAGACATCCCTATTCCTCCCTTGAGTGGTAGCTTCTCGTGAGCGTGGTGCTGGCCTCAGGGTGGTGCCCTCAGCCCATCAGGAACGGGGTTAATAAGGAAGGGGAGGGGGTGGCTGTTACCTTCAAAGCATCCCCGTTTGGCATTTCAGAAGTTGTGT